CAGCACTCCACATCCCCTTGCAATGAAGTGGCCCAGTTTCCATGGCAACCCCATACACCAGCATATTATTCCCCTTTCAGAACTCAAAAGAGGATCAATTAGTGATGATGTCATTGCGTCAAGAGAAACACTCAAATCCCGATTTCGATTGCCTGAGAGCAGCCAGTCCCAGCCTGTGTGTGTGTGAGAGAGAGAGGGGTTTTAATGGTACATAGTAATTTAAGTGTAAATAACAGTTAAAAAAATAAAAAATAAAAAGCAAGGTTAGATTCTTCTCCTTGCAGCTCAGGCTGGAAGATGAAGGCAGACTTGGGGTGCCTGAGTCACCACCACTACACACTGTGTGGGAGGCCTGGATGGCAGCAGAATGGAGAACAGGAGCAGAATGAAATCCACTGATTATCAGCATGAGGGTTAGATGAAAACGAGACATGGAACGAAGTAGGAAGCAACATGTCAGGTGCAAGTATCACATTTCTCCTCAAGGAAAAAGTAGCACAAAAATGTGCTCCACGTCAACTAGAGACCTTGCTCTGCCATTTTTCTGATAGTACAAATTGATAAAATAACTCCCATCATAATTTTATAACTCTGCAGCAGCTCTCGCACCTTTTTCTTTCCAACACAAGAACAGAGAATACTGAGGAGATCTTTGGTGAGTTCATTGCACCAGTGAAACCAATAAGCCATGCTAACAGTGCGTGATTCCAGGTTATACATATATTTTTTATTTCTCTCTTGAACTGGATTTGGGTTTGGACTCTTTCTTTTTCCAGTGGACTGACATTTCTGCTTGTTTTTCCATTTTTTGGCAGATGAGCAGAGTTTTACAACAACTGCACTGGGCAAGCCAGTAAACTTGAACAAATATACTTTTAGAGACACTCTTCTAAAGGCTCACTGTGGTGGAGGTGGGGTCTCTGGCTCTGCTACAGTGGAGGGGTGGTGAAGTGGGCTTGAGGGGCAGTGCCAGGGTGGCTGGCAGGGCAGCTGCTGCCACTCAGTAATCAGACTCTCCCTTTTCAGTGATGCTGGGGCTTGAGAGAGGAGCTGAGTGTGGACTGGAGAAGCAGCTGAAAAGAATTTCTAATGTCAGGAAAAAGGAAAAAATATTGTGGCAATAAACACCACAAAACTGTCACCAGAGGCTACGTAGGGTCTATTCATTTCACACTCCCCCTTCTACCTCCAAATGTCATTAGTAAGGAAACTGCGTACAAAGGCGTACATAACTGTGTTTTGCAAAATGGATTGGATATTGATTGTGATGTGCAAATGTAGTCAGCGTCAGGCTTCTAGCTTTTTGATTTTTTTCAATAATTAAGTCTGTCTCTAATCATTGCCAAATAGAGGAATGTTTGTGCTGTGGCAAGGTACAACATTTGACCGTCACATGGTTAAAAGCAAAGCATAGAGTGTGATCATGAGACTGATCCCCACACTGTTCCACAAACTTATTAAACTGAGGTCAGTCCATCCCTTATAGCAAAGGCAACCTACTGCTTACAAGGCTCATCTGGTTCTTTTGCTGCATGCAGCTTACGAGCCACAGGTTAGAATTAGAGTTAACCATACATATATACTTTTTTTGTTAGTTTTCACTAGCAGTCAAAAACTAATGTGTACACTTATGTCTGCATTTTTATTTTGTTAAATACGAACAAAATTATTGCAGAAGCTCCCGTGTGTCTGGCCAGAAAGAGAATACCAATGTGTTTGGCAGAAAATGTCTCTTTTGATGTTGAATATTGCAAAGGCCTGCCTTAAAGGGTGTGCAAGGCAGGAGCTAATCACAGCCTCAATTCTATGGATTTGCTCACCCATTCAAACATAAGTGTCAAAGACTGGTTGAAGAAAAAGAAAATGTGCCATCTGTGCAGCAAGTACAGTCGTGAAATTTCCTCACTACAAAATATTCCACAGTCAACTGTTAGTGTTATTATATCTGTGGAGGAGTGCGGTCTGTGGGTCCGCTACAGAGGGAGGGGTGGTGAAATAAGTTCAGAGGGCAGTGTCTGGCAGAGCAGCTGGGACCAATTCCCTAATCATGCTCTGCATATTTCAGTTACGCCAGGACTGGGGACAGAGGAAGAGCTGAGATGGAGGAGAACAATTTTTGTTGTGTAATCACACTGAAAATAATCCATCACTTCCCTGCAAACACCGGCTCTGCTTGTGTGTATGTGTGTGTGTGTGTGTGTGTGTGTTGTATTATGTCTGTAACACAATTGTGTTACAGTAACAAAGTGGAAGCAATTGGGAACGACAGAAAAGCAGCCATGAAGTGGTAGGCCACCTATAATCACAGAGCAGGGTCAGCAATGCTCAGGTGCATAGTACACAGAGGTCAAGAACTTTCTGCAGAGTTCATTGCCAGATACCTCCAAACTTCCTGTAGCCTTGAGATTAGCAAAAGAACAGTGCATACTCAAAATGTGCTCATCTAATGCAGCACAGATAACATCTTGGAGAAGCTCACAGCAGTCGTGAGTACTCAGACTATGCTCTTTGAGCGCAAAATTGATAACATCTCGTAGAAGCTCACAGCTCTCCAACATTTAGATCGTAGTTTCTTAGTTTCAGTAAAAGAAATGTAATTTTTCACTGTACCAAAACATTTTGGACGATTTCATGCTTCCAACTGTATGTGAAAAGTTTGGGGAGGGGTCTTCCTTTTCCAACATGACTGCCCACCAGTGGACAAAGCAAGGCCCATAAAGACCTGGGTAAGTGAGTTTGGTGTGGAAGAACTTGACTGGCCTGCACAGAGTCCTGACCTCAAGCCAACAGAACAACTTTGAGATGGATTAGAGCAGAGATGGCCAGCCATGCCTTGCCATTCTCCAAGAATGTATATCACCTATCTCCAGCTTCTTGATTAAGATAACCAGGTGAAGCAGAGTGGTGGGCGTATACCAAGGTCCAAGGTTTTCCACTTCCTGGATGTGCTGCTTGACCTAGGCCTGCAGTACCGTGCCTCCAGCTGCTTCCAGTCATCTGTTTCTGGTGCATTGTGGACAGCTCTGCCACCATCTGTGTCAGTGCTTGCAATGGCTGTTATAGGCTGTGAGTCCAATATTTTTTTCTGCTGTTTGGTAGTGTTGGGCACCAGTGCAGTATTTCTGTGTCACTGTGGGTTCCCTAACACAGACAGTCAGACACAACACTTTTGTTATACTTTTATTTATTACATTACACACTATCTTTAATGATTTTTTTAGACAATGCACAGTTCACTCAGTGTTATCCGTTGTTGCAGCTTCCCTGGCTGCCAGTCCAAGTGGATGTTGCACACCTCAGTTCTGGTGCACTACTACATGAATAGAAGTAATTAGACAATAGCTGGAAGCTGTGCCTTCCTTTGTCTCCTAGCAATGCCCCCTGTTCCTCTGTTCCACCCCTCCCCTTTAGCTGAGGCAAAACCACACCCTGCAACCAATAAATTAAAAAACAAAACAAAACAGAAAGATCCTCTTTAAATTTTGGCTTAAGAGAGGAGGTTTTGCAATCATCATCTGTTGCAGCAACCATTCTTTAGACACTGAGGCCTCAGAGGTGTGTGTCTTGTGTGGAATTTGCTTCCTCCGTCTCATTATGTCTCATTTTTCGAGCCTATCTCTCCTTGTTATAATGAGAGTGTATATAGTCTATCTGTCTCTCTCTGTTTATTTTTCCTTCGTCCTTTATGTCTTTGTGAACCCCAGCCTTATATCTTCCCACTCTGACGTCCCCAACAAATCTGTATCTCGTGGCTTTTCTTTGTGTTTTTGATTCACTTACTCAGTTCCATGTTTGCTGTAACATTTTGGACTATCAGCATTAAATGCTCATTTTGAGTTCGACTCCTGCCTTCTGTCCTTTTGGGTTCAGAATTACCAGCTCACACAGCCAATACATAACCTAATGTGGGAAAGGTCAACAAACATACAAAAAAGACATGTTTATTCTGTTTATAATTGAGGTGGTCCTTCCGAAATAACCACAGCATACTCATCTATATGTGTGGAGTTGTATCTAAATAAAATGCAAAACAGGTAAATCACCTTCACAGAGTGTGCAGTGCACAATCAGTATCAGAGAGGATTAACAGGGTAATAAGGCACAGAGAATGCCAGTCAGACACTGACGAGGGTGGGAAAAGAACAAAAGAGGGAAATAAAAACAGAGAAAATTATATGAAGAACAGGTCTTCAATTAAAACAGGAATCAAACTGAAAGAGGTGCCAAGAAAAAGCTGATAAGGCAAACTGAGAAACACACAAAAAATGGGAGAAGCCATTAAAAGCTACTGCCATTGTCTTTGCCAGTGTTCATCAAATGACTATCGTAATGCCACACCACCTCCTCCCAGTAAACACACCTTATAATCTTGGAATGGGAGGCATAATTAGCCTGTTGCAGGAAAGGCAGCCAGTTACATATAATATAAAATGTCTTGAGCAGCTTTAAACACATAGTGTACTAACACACAGTGTCTAAAATCATCTTACAGATTTTATGACGATTTCTCAAAAAATTAAGAGGATAGACTTTCCAAGATAATTTCCTGCAGACATTTTATAACGTGCAGATTTGTAAATGGACTTTATTAGCACAGCTGCTCACCTGCATCACACTTTGATACATTTATATTGAAATGGTCACGGTCGCTGTCCGGGGTTCTGATCTCTTTTGTTTGAGCTCTTTGATCCGTTCTGATGCCTCAGGAATAACACACACACACACACACACACACACACACACACACACACACACGCACGCACGCACACACACACACACACACACACACACACACACACACTTTCTTCATGTTCCACCACATCTGTGTCTCTGTGTAGAATCAGATGAGACTAGATAATTTAACACACCCCGTTTATTCACATCCATCATGTAGAATTGGATTTCAGCTTCCTTGCGCGCATGTGTGAGAGTGTTTGTGCATGGATAAGAGAGAGGGAGAGAGAGAGAGAGAGAGTGAGAGAGAGAGGGGGAAAGGGGGGGTTGATAGCGAGTGGACTAGTTGAAATGCGCGGCACATTCTTATGTGGAAGACGAGACGAGCAGGCAGCAGTCCTTGGGCCAAGCGACATATCAGCACTTAACAACCGAACAATCTCCACGCACGGCACGGGAAACCTCGTTTCATTCCTTAATCTCTGCCGCAAAAGCAAAATTACCGCATTCTTCCAAGCGGTAATTCTGCAACAAACCCAAACTGCATACCGGCTGGAAGTTGCATCGCCTGGAGCCACCGGGGAATCTTGTATCTTTACAGCTCCGCCAGGCTTGATTTGTCTCCTGTGGTGTGCGCGAAGGGGCCGCGGCGCAGGAGTTCTATTTGGAGCAAATTGATAAAATGGTAAGATTTGCGGGGGGAATTCACGAATCACATTTTAAGTGGTTAAACCTGCATGTAAAGGGAGGAGAATGGAAGTGAGCGTGCCGGGATCTTGCGGCATGTGTCGGATGATCTCAGTGAGGAGGTTGCTTCCTATCAGTGGCTGCCGGCAGCGCGCAGTTTGCACACTGCAAAGGAGAAGGACCATCACTAAGCAATGAATATGAGAAAACAGAAAGACAGGATATTGGAGCAGAAAAGCACCTATGTACAAAATAGCGCATTGTCTATATATTCGTCTGTGAACATGAGGAGTCTTTAATATATTCTGATTAAGTAATTCTTAAAATCAGAATATATTTATATATATTTAAAATCAGAATAATATGCATGAGCTCTTTTACGGATAAAAGAGTTATCCAGTCCTTCCTCTGTTATTAGAGTATTCAGTTCAATTACTCAAAGATAAGATTAATATTATCATCTATCCCATAATTTGGCACACACACATACATATATATATATATATATATATATATATATATATATATATATATATATACATACACGCACACGCACACATGCATATGCACATGTGTGTGTGTTTCTGTCTGTCTGAAATCCAGGCCTTTGGGTAAATGCTGTGTGTGACCTTGTAATGCAGCCTGCTGTCGCTGAATAACAATTGCGGCTTCTCTTCTTTCTTTGCCTGGCTGGTTTGGGAGGGTTAAAGCTACACTGAAAAAGCTATTCAGTCCCAGCCGCCTACATCTACACGTCTGTTGTGTCTGAATGATGGCAGAAGATGTGTTTTCTCTCAGAACTTGTGTTTCTTAATGATGGGGGGAAATATGTGTGCATGCAAGTCTGCGTCCCTCTGTTCCGATGACATTATAAAATGCTGTTGAGTTATTTATTTACATCTCGGAATGCTCAGCTGCAGCATCATTCATAAGACTCGCCACAAATGCGATAAGTAATGCTCTGTTTTTCTATCTGAACATGCGTGAGAACTGTTTAAATATCTGAGTTGGTTCATCCCAAAGAAAAAGTGTGTATGCAGTTCTAATTTGTTTAAATTTACAGCTCAGCATATCAGAGAAACCACAGAATCCTGTTTACATTTGCTTGACCTAAGAGTAACAAACATTCCCATAATACCTCGTGCAGGAAAGTGAGGAGACATTTAGAGTGTAACAGCACAAGTAGGACCAGAGAGCTTTTCTGTCCTTTAGATCTCAGTGATGCTGACATTTAAATGACCCAATTAGCCTTGTTGTGTTGACTGGCCTGATCAGCAGAGGAAAGAGAAGAAAAAGTCAGGCCGGAGAAGGAGAAGATATTAGGCATCAGGCCCAGTCTCAGCAAGGCAGCCTTGTAACACACCCAGTGTCATGCATGAGCGAGTGTCATTTATAGTTGTATTGAGGCGATCCAGTTCCCATGCAAAAGGGTGAACACAATAAAAAGTAATGTTAGTTTTGAAATACTTGCCACATCCATGTCTGCAATTAATGGTATACGATGGTTGAACTGAATGGCAAAGAGAGCACATTTTAATGGCTACACCATCCGATCAAATAGGAGTTTTCTGGATGTGATGTGCATCATTTAATGCACACAAAATCCACAAAATTTTACATTTGAACTTTATAAATTTGACCAAATATGGAGCTGCCAGCAGAGTTCTTCATATTAGTACATATCATTCTGGACGGTAATTGTTGATGTCACTTTAAACAGATTATGAAGAATGGGGGAGGCTTGGGGGTCTGCATTTAGGGGACACATTGAGTAAGGGTTCTGGCAATTCTCCCCAATAAATTTCGAGTATTGGAGACTTATCTTTTCTGCATTGTGGTTTAATTTATCTAAAAGAAAATAATTTTAAAAAAAAATGTAACCAGGATATGCTGTTGAAATTAAAGGCCTTTCACAATGAAGACCTGGTTATGGTAGCAGCCATACATACACAAAATATTTTAAAATGTAATGTAAATTTCAAGATCTAGATCATGATGTATACGAATGTCCACCACTAAAAAAAAACTGCCTTTAAAAAACATGTAAGTCTCCTTCACTGGGGTCCTTATCATTTTATTTATGCCTATTTGCTAAATTCACCAGTTGTTAGAAACATCATATTAAAAGTTTTGCAAGTTATTTCAAGTCCAAGGTGCAAAGTAAGAAAATAGTGTTTTACCTAGACCTGTCAAAACCCTTGGTGTAACTGTTTAAAGGAGTGTAGCTGATAACTGGAACTGTGACAGAGAAAGGCACACTGAAAGTTTATCCACTATCGTCTTTTTGTTTTCTATGTGTTGTCAGTGATGGCCAACCCACCAAATCATAAGGAATGCAAGGGCACAACTGACACTAGACTCAGTAAAGACAGTGGTATGTATATACACTCTATCAAAATAATTAATCACAGGAAGAAAAATATTATACAGTGAGGTTTCCTGGCATTCTTGATCACTTTTAAATATTAATTGTTAATTTCCCTCATTGGATGTTCTCCCTGCAGAATACAGATACATAAAAGCCTGATTTACCTTTCTGTCCTCTTTTGTGTTTGCCTGGTTTTAGACATGAGCGTAACAAATTGGCACTTCTGTCTAATATCAGGCTGATTTGTTTGGGGAAGTGACCTGCCTGAATGTGCCTGAATGTCTTAATCAATTAACTTATAAACCTCTCAGTTTTGACTGTGGTTACTATTTTGGGGGATTTTTTTGATCATTCTTCGGACTCATGTACATCTCTAGCCACAACACTTGGGCTATAAACTCCAAAAACAGAAATCTACAACTTTCCAAGATAAAATAAACTTTATTAGTCCAAAAGTTGGGAAATTCACATTGTTACAGCAGCAGAAAAAATGTTTTATAGTGCTGTGGTTGTGTGTTAATAACAGCAGGTATTGAGTATTGTACATTGAGATATGTACAGCCTCCAGTGTTTGCATATGCGGTGTGTTTTCACGTGTACATTCACTGCTTAGTTGGTATTTAGACATTTGTCCTTATCCCACTTCCTTCTGGCTCATCCATGGTTATATAACTGCAGTTACAGTCATCACAAAAAATGTAGTGGCTGTATTCAATGAGATTCTTTTGTGTTTTTATTTTTGGTATGCAGGGGTTGCTCTAAATATTGGGAGGTGATCTTTCCAGCTCCCCAAAACGACACATGTGCTTTGCAGTTCAATTCAATTCAAGTTTGTTAATGCTCCAGGAACCTGTAACTGTAAATGACACTGAAGTAATGTTACTATTTCAATACAATATGTTGAGCATAGCATTATTCCAGGCAGGCCGCAAAGCTCAGCCACTATTACAGGAGATCAGCTGATTTTGTTTTACACATCCAATTGTCTGTTTCACATAAGGCGTTAGCTGTATGTCCCCAGTTGCTGCAAATCTGCAACTCACCACCCCATCTCTCTTTCTGTGCCTAACCTTTTAAAACCGGAACCAATGAAATAACTGCCAGAAATCTTTAATTTTTTGATAATACAGTGTTTGTTGAACCTTTAGACAATGTAGATATATAAATTTTAATCTACATATATGATTTTAAATTTTTCTGTGTTTGCAATTTAGTCATTACAATGTGTCATGCAATTTATATCATTTTTGAGGGTAAAAAAAGTCACACTGATGATGTAGAAGTCTCAAAAACTCACAACACACATGTATTAAATATGATACACTTGGCTTTAAAGGGCTAAATATTGTATCTGGTGTCACTGTTTACTCTGAGCTGGGCTTTTGCTGCTCCACTCCATGTCTCCAGCATTCCCAGTATGGATGTGGAATCGTGAGGCGGTGTGTACAGTGAACAGACCCATACCAGGAAATGCAAGTTGCTAGAGGTGCAAATATCACTATGATCTTTTGACTGGTGAACAGTCTTTGACCAGCATCAGGCTCGTGGGTGGCCAAGGCTCATTGATCCACATGGGTAATGAAGGCAGGGCCATGTGGTCTGATTCAACAGACGAGCTACTGTAGCTCAAATTGCTTAAAAAATTAATGCTGGTTCTGATAGAAAGCTGTCAGAATATACAGTACTTACCAGTTTGTTACGTGTGGGGCTGCATGGCTGCAGACCAGTAAAGGAGCCCATGGTGACCCTTGTCCACTGCCAAAAGCACCAACAATGGGCCTGACTGTCAGAACTGTTCCACGGAGCAATGGAAGAAAGTGACCTGCGCCACTAGGCCAGCACACACCCTCTCTGCCATCTTTGTGATGGCAGAGAGGGTGTTCTTCTGTTGAAAACCTGGCACTAGGATGCACTATGGCCAGTGGAGGCAGTGTGATGCTTCAGTTCAATTCAATTCAGTTTTTTTAATATAGTGCCAAATATCCACAACAGTTGCTCCAAGGTGCTTTGAGAATTTAAGAGGAAAAGACCCTAAAATAATAAAAGAGAACAGAGAGAACCCCAACAATCATATAGCCCTACAAGGACTTTGGCGACAGTGGGAAGGAAAAACTGTCATGGCTGTGTGCAGGCAGGCAGGGAGGAAGGACCCAGAATGCATGACTCACTGAGGAAAAGTTGAACTCAAAATAAACAGCTTTATTGCGGGTTGCAGACTGAACAGAAGACTAACTATACTGAGGGAAAATAAACTAACAGGCAGGCAAAACAGGTACTGGAACACACAGCAAAACCTGAGGGTGAGCAGACATTAACGACACGACAGAGAGCAAAGGAAAACACAGGGCTTATATACACTGGGGAGTAACCAGGGAATGGGAAACAGGAGGGAGACACAGCTGGGAGAAATTAGACTAACCAGACAGGGGAGAAGTAAAACAGAACACACTGACATCAGACTGGGACTATCAAAATAAAACACAACACAAAACAAATCACAAAGACGCAGACTTGACACTTAGAGGCAGTGGCGGTCCTAGCCTGTTTGGCGCCCTGGGCGAACACTCCCCCCCACCACACACACACATATGAAGAGAGAGAGAGAGTGTACATTGTATGCAAACGGCTACCAAACAGCCATGATAATTCGTCATACAATGAGAACAGGACAAATCTACAATTGACTAATTAATATTAAAATCTGTAACATAATGTATTGTTTGGAGTTTAGTCTGTTACTGTTACTATTTTTACCATTTCTCCTTGGAGCAACTGTAACCCGCATAACTTCCTTAGGGATTAATAAATTATTCTGATTCTGATTGTTTCAGGATGACCTGCCATTATCCAATGACACATCTGCTTACCTGCATCTTTTGCTCGTTTTACATAACCTAATAGACCTACACCTTAGCTCACAGATTCACTTTGTGTAGGGTTTATTTCTGGGATTTCACACAACCCAGGATTCAAATCATGAATACATAATGGGCTTGGATTTACATCATTATGAATGAAATGTGCTCTATTTGGAAGCAGCCGGCCCCCCTCCACGAAAGTGGAGGGGGGGCAGACTGTGTGTGAGACTTTAAATCATCAAACTGTAAATTATAAATTTTAAATTGATCCCTTTACCCCGAGTCCTAAAGTGTATATTTATTTTCTTACTCTTCTTATATTTATTGTTTGTTTACTTGCACTGCTGTAACTGGAGTCTTGTGTCTCGTCTCTCTGGACTGTATGTAGCGGAGATGACAATAAAGTTTACTTTGACTCCAGCAGCGAGCAGGCGCACCGAGGGCTCTCGCGCTCACTTTTCGCATATAGAATTTCGAAAAAACATCGGTGCAAATTATAAGTCTGCATGATTTTTCTTTTTCTCTTTTATTTTCTTTTGCAAGTTGGTTATTAGATGCCGCTCTAGCCAGCCAGAGAATCCCCCGTCGCCCCGCCCTCTCCTCCCTGTGCCGCAAGCAGCAGGCGCACCTCGCAAACGGAGGGCGCCCCTACTCCCAGCAAATGGGCGATAGAAAACCGATCGGTGCCTATGACATTCCTACTATGCGCTGGCATGACGTCGGGGCAGCATGAGAATGAGCTATTTTTTTATTTATTTATTTTTAGCCGATGCCCGTGATGTCGCCTCCCACCACGATGCCGCCCCAGGCAACCGCCTGTGTCGCCCGTATCAAAAACCGCTACTGCTGAGAGGCAGTCTGAAAGAATATAACACATGGAACCCAGGGACGACAGAGACTTAAAGAAGAATTAACATCAAACTAAACTCATGACCAGAACCAAACTGAAACATTGATTTATAATACTCATCAAAACAGGATAGCTAAAGAATCAGACATAAATCATAATACAGAAAAACACCAAAACATAAGAAACAGAAAATGCTGTGACAAAAACTTCCTTTTAACAACAAGAAATGACCAGCAGAACCAGGCTCAGGAGGGACGGCCATCTGCTGCGAACCAAGGTTTTCTCCTGAAAAACCTTGTATATACCTTGTGGATGTTACTTTGACATGCACCACCTACCTCAGCATAGCTGTAGACCATTACGGCCTTTCATGGAAACAGTATTCCCTGATGGCTGTGGCCTCTTTCAACAGGATAATGCTCCTACCATAGCATTCATGAGTGATTTGAGGAACAAATTGTTGGATTTATTGACCTGATCTTCAATCCAGTCGATCTCAATCCAACCAAGCATCTGTGGGATGTGCTGGACAAACAAGTCCAATTCATAGAGGCCCCATCTTGCAAATTACAAGGTTTAAAGGATGTGTTGCTAACATCTTGATGCCAGATAACCACAGCTCTCCTTCAGGGTTGTTTTGGCAGAAATCAACTTCAATATTAGGCATTCTGTCATAATATTATGCCTGTTATGAATTATGCCACACAGGAACCAATCAAATGCAAGGTAAATAGCTTTCTCTCTGTCTCATTGTGTTCACAATATTGTAATTTGAAAGTAATGTAATGTACTGGCTCCTAAAACACACCTGCCTACAGCCAGGTTTTTGTAGCCATGAAAATTGGCAATACAGTCTGTGACACTCACAGAGAATCTGGCTGTTTAATGACTCTTAGCTGTGGTGCATTTTGAGGATGTTTTAATGTTGTTTAAACTGTTACTTTCTTTTGCGCTTTAAAAAGCCATTGCCGAGGCCTTGTGACTGCATAATTCCCAACAGAATTGTGGGAAAAATGGGACATAATAGGAGCGAGAAACCAGGCCAGTTTTCATACTGTCTTTTCTTCTTTGTCTCCCACTCTCCATCCCTCTCTCTGTAATGCGTGAACCTCTCTCTCTATCTCCAAAATAATGAAGACTAAGTCATGTCTGTGTATATTAATTCCTCCCATAATTCCTTGGGCTAAATATAGAGCCAGAGACTTGAGTGACTTAGTGAGATATTCAGTGGGAATTAGACAGTCCGGTGGTGGATTAACACATGAGATAATTAATCTTGAAGCACAAAAAGAACATTT